ACGACCTTTATGTCATTTACTTGTTACTAACATCCAGCCATTCGAGCTCACTATCTTCATGGTCATGGTTAATGTTCAAAGAACATTTTTACAAAAATACAGGATCAAAAACAATTCTTACCACCAAATCGCATTCTTTTTCTTACAATAAATCTTAATCTCAAACCTAAATAATAAATTAAACAACAAAGCAATTGCATACCCACCATGGTTCAACACTTCATTGCCTCTCAAACTATTTTAATACTGACTTCGTACCAACATGACGGACTTAGCAATCGTGCGTGCAACTCCATGACAAATGCCCCTTAAAAAAACAATGCAAACAAAAAGATAAAGAAACATCTCATTTCATCTTTTTGTATCGTAAAAAAAGCTTTTCTTTAGCACTCTTTGAGGAGTGCCGAAGCTTTTTCAATATTTTTTCACTTGCTTAGAAGTCATAATTGTGTTTATAGTTCGTTTTGTCCTGTTTTTAAGTTGTTTGTTGTACAATTCGTTAAGGGTACAGAAAACAATGAAGTCGCAAAGTTTTGCGAAAACAGAAACCTGTTGTAAATATGAGTTTCGACCTGTTTGGCAAATAGAATGCCTGTTGTCGGTGTAACTTATACATCTAATCGATAACATTTTAAAAGGAACTGTACAGTGCCACCTACTAGGATAGTTTCCGTCACACTGTATTAAACTTTCATGAGAGCTGATCATAATTTATTATGAGCTTACAAAAAATCAATATAATAACGTAACCAAATATGAAATGTAAGTTGACTCATCGAAGAAAAAATTACCCGGTGCAAAATTAAAAGAAGGCGCCGACTGACGTCCAGCATCTAAGCTACAAATAATATCTTAACTGTACCATCTTAAGGGTACCTTTGAAAGGTACCCTTAAGATGGTGAAGCTGAAGTTAGGCGTAACAAGTAACCCTTCCATATTTTGCCAGCATAAAGTCTTAAACAAAAGGACGTCCGAACGGGACGTCAATGAGTCCCGTTCCCCGTACGGAGACCATAAATCTTCGAATTTACCACTTTAACTGTACCGTCCGGAGAGTTGACAAAATAATGGTGTTAAACAATATCCTGATAATTGTTCAATTGTCAGCATGAAGCGAAACTAAATCGATCTTTGTTTAGAGTATACTTTGTAATGAGACTAAAAAGTGTGTCATCGGTTTCAAACGTCTTAACTTGATTCAACTTAAAAAATATTGTGAGCATTAACGCCGTCCAAACGTAATATATCGTCTACGTCAAAAATGTATTTTAAAATGAATTATTTACGATATGAAATGGCAAGTGTCCCTTTGTAAATTCAATTATAATGTTCCACTGGTAACCTCTTACGAAGAGGGACAATTAATGTATAATATCATTTGCTACCTCTAGGTAGGTCTAGCATTTTACTCTGATGTTAAAAAATAATATATCGTCTACAGAAACAAACCTTACATGTGAATTTCGCAGACAGGAAAAAAATCGCGAAACACGAAAGCAGGTAGGATCCCAGTTTTATGAGAGGCGGCACGCTTTATCAACAGACGAGGACTCCTAGAAAGTGTTTTATTGTTTTAAGACCCCCAATAAACCTTTTACATGTTTGTATTCAAGAAGCCGCCTCTGATTTTGACTTGCCGACAAGAAACAATGCCTGAACATAGACTAGTTACAAAGACACTGGCGTTCCAAGAAGCGAGCAGTAAGTCTATTGTTGTAATTTCATTATGTCCATGGGAATTTTGGTAGCTTACTGGTAAAAGATAAGATAAGGTACAAAGGTAAAAAGTATTCTTCATACACGTGTCCTTTTTTACAACACTTTATGGTATTTATTCTTTGTAAAGAATGGACATGGAGCGGTACTGACTTTGAAGTTCTATTTTTAGAATCGGAATATCCAAGTCAATGCATACTCTTGGATGCTCCAAACGAAACCGTGTGAAGATTGGCATAGAAAATATAGGTTACTGTTGAAGTTACTTTAGTGAATAAGGCTGTAAGTTTGTCTGCTCTAATATCCTTTTGTATTTTATCGATACTGTACAAATATCACTAAAGCGACAGATGTCAAAATTTTTTCGCACAAACCATAAATTAGAGAAAAAGATCCAAAGTAAATATCAACCAGAAAGCCCCGCGGCAAAACCAAATACAATATTCTGAATAAGCCATCGATTGATTTCATAAGATTAATGGTTGCACATTGTCAGCGCCACAGTATGACGAGAAGGCTCGCCGAATTTGCGCAACCAAAATGTGTTTTATAACCTTATGTATAAGGGCTAACAAATATCATTTTTGAAATCTTTTTGAGCTGACAGAGCATTGAATGGCATTCACTGTTTTTATTTCGTACGTTATTTAAATTCAGCTTTATTACGTAGTGACAAATTTCAAACTCGTATTCTTTAGTTAGTCCAAGTTGTAGCATTTTGGTTCTGGCGTTTAAAACTTGGGGTTCGGTAGAAATTGATTTTGGAATTCAGTGTGAAATTGAAATAAAAGTTTTTTATTTGAACGCACAGTCGACACAAAGTGAGATTGCTTCTATGGTTAATCTGACGATTAAATATTTATTTGTTTGGTTTTAAAAACCAATAGTACTATTTGCCCCGATTTAAATGTTCAACCACATTATTGTGTAATGGGTTGAACTTAATATTTTTTTGATTTATGATCACTTACTCCGTCTGACGTTCAAGTTACTTTTACGAGACTGATTTGAAACGAAATTGTTAGTATTGAGGATAAAATATAACTATGGAATATTTGCAGTAAGAACATTTAAAACTTTCTTATGGTTTCATTTTTAAAAATATATAAATCAGAACCTATTTCAGCCTAAATAAAGCTTTTCCTTTTTAAAATAACACGTGTGAAAGTAAAATTTTGTTTCAATCTTTATTTCCAAGAATCGCTCAGAATCGATCGTTGTTCCCATACAAATGTTAGGAGCAGAACACAATGCACTCCGTTGGTGGGTGTGCGCATGTAACAGATGTGAATCGCTTTGGCCAGGAGGTGTGTACTGTGTGTACAAAGAATGCATATGTCGCTCACGCTGCCGTACGTGGGTACCAATGCTTACTATTGGGCGTTCAATAATGCGTACGTTGCATGAGTAAGCTATTTTAATATGTGGGTTTGTTTTGCTATGTAAACCTATGTATGTACGTTTTATTAGAGTGTAAAATCACAAATGAATCGTTAAAAAAAATCTAATTTATCACTCGTAATTATTTCCATTCCTAATTGTGAAACATTAATAATATTAAAAAATATATGTTTAAATATGTTAGGCATATTTTTATGGTTTACTTAAAACATCAATTTGACGAGGTAGCTCGACAAGTTTCAAGCAAAGTACGGGGCTCATTGTCACGAGTAATGTTGCACAACAAATGACACGGCGAGCGTCGCGTAGCCATATAAAGAACACACCATAATTGTGATAAAGTTTTTCGCCTCCTTTACAATAATATTGGTTTTAATCATTCCCAAATATTATTAATATCTAAATAATTCATTTGTTAAAAATTAACCAAACAGTACAATTTCAGTTTCCACAGTTTTAATTGAATCGTCAATGGATTAAGTAACCTATTCATATGCTAATAAGGTTTAAATAGCAATGGCGTTGACAGTGAAATGTTACTATATTAATTGGAAGGTTTATTAAAATTCAAATCATGTTTGTCCAAATATATAAAAAAAGAAATAAAATATTGATATGAATACATTAATGCATTATGTTGTTTTATTTGCTGTTGATGATACTGTATTTTTGATTTAGCGTAATGAATCAATGTTACATGCTGAAATGAACCTTACGGCTTACCAAATAAGGTTGTCTTACTAAATAAAAGTAACTTTACTTCATGGTAGTGAAGATATATTCTCGCCTGATATTATATCCTTAAAATAATAAGAAACGGTGTGCTTAAAGGAATAAATATGATCTAGATAAGATTCAGAAGTAGTCATGATCGTTCATAAAACTCAGCTAAAGCCTATAAAACTCCTTCATATGTATATTTTTCTTCAAAACTTTAAGACAGATGTTTTTAACTACAATCGTAATACTTAAATTTCAAATAAATTAATTAGTTTCAACAATCAACGATATTAAAATCGTAAAGTTGTGTCGCAGGCGTCGCACGCGCAAGCTCGCATGCTGCGCCATTGTCGCGACCCCCGATTGAACTGTTACACGTCGAGATGAGTTATGTTCTAAGTCAGGACTGTGCGTACAGGGTGCTGTTTTACAGTTTGATTTTGTGTAATCAGACAATATTGGCTACCTAGCAATAAATAAACTATTTCGTATGTGGTATTTATTTTATTCATAATTGATAATCAGCATCTTGTTTAAACATTATCTGTATAAAAATTTATGATCTAAAATTGGATTATTACTATCCTTGATTTTCTATCATACCCATACTTTTTTGAAAATTATAAAATCGGTGGTATTGAGCACCTCCTCCTTTTTTTGTTTTTTTGGGAAGTCGGTTAAATCTGTTTTGGTTTTAATGTATCAATTCCATTTTTTTAGCTAAATCATTTTTATGCAGATACAGAACATAGAAACAACTGACAATTTGAAATAAACACCATGTTATTTTATTCTTGAAACATCCTCTATAAAATGCAATCGCCAATGCAGCACAGTGACACACATACGCGGCTTTACACTAAACCAATAATAGAAATCAATCCATACTCCCTCTCTTACACACACATACAAATAACAATCAATGCTACACCCATGCCTACGCGCACACAAGTATAAAAGTATTGGAAATATTAGCTTTGTAAACATTTACGGGATATTTGCAAAATGTTCCGCCAATCGGACCGTATATACCCTTCTCTTTCTTATTCAATAAACACGCTAACAATAGAACGAGACGGCGAGACCGGCTTTACAACTTTGCGGAGGGACAATAGTGACGCTATTGTTGAAAGTACCCCAAACTTTTTTTAGGTCATATAAAGTATTATAATTGTAGGGTCGTGCCGCCTGTATGCACTTACACCATTCGTTTCGCAGTCAACCTCGGAGACGGATCGCCGTCTCCTACGCAGTCCAGTGTCAGTGCTAATTAAAGGATAATCAGTGTGTGTCAAGCAGTGATAGTGTTAGATATTTCATAAACATAAGGTATGTCCTTAGCGACTACTAATCGTGCTAGTGAAATGTGGAACAGCAGTAGAGATATGAACGCTCAAATTGCGATACAATCTAAGCTTAACGAATATAAACAAAACCTTAATATGCCGACCGATTACTACAACAACTATCAGAATAGTTATTATTCACAAAACTATAACTATACAAATACGATCAGTAATTACGGGAAGGTGTATGAACAGAACCAAAGTGGCGGAATAGTGAAATCGGAACCAACTTCATGGCCTGGTTACAATGCAAATTATCCATCTGGAAATAATGTTAATGATATGGGAATGATTAATCGATGGAAGGAAATGAACTATTATTTACAACAGCAACAACAAATGCAGCACCAACAACAAATCCAGCATCGGCAGCAGCAAGTATCACCACAACAACAATATGGGTATGAACAAAAAATTAACACAATGTATCAAGGTACTGTGGAGAAGCCAGAAGATATTAAATTGATTAATTCACCGGGACAGTGCAGTGTTCCCGAAACTAGCTACGGATCACCTCAAAGTGCAACAAGTAATTTTAAATCACCTACGCCTGAAGCAGACGAATCACCAAATTTAAGGGCACTGCTTATGAGACCGAAGGATCAAAATATACCACCACATTTTATGAAATATGATAAGACGTATACGGAAGAAATGCTCCAGAAGATGATGTTTAGCACAGAAGACGCAAACAATTGGGGAAAAAACAAAGAGAGCACTGAGAAGGAATGCAATTTGTCGCAATTTCATGGTGGATTTGAGAACGTTGAGGATCAAACGTCAATCAAGAAAGATGCAGTGGGTGGGGCAACAGAAGGTGCACAGTCATCACAGGACTCTTCGGGACCCTGTCAGGATGTGACGAGGGTCGATGCAGGCGGGGACAATGCGGATTATGCGGATAACAAAATGGCGGCTGCACAAGATGTGCAGGCGGTTTATCCATGGATGAAGAATGTTGGTGGTAAGTAATGTTTTAGTATGATTGAAACAATTACAGCTTATATAAAATAAAGTAACAATTTATTAAACTGATTTTATTAAAACGGGATTTTAATATTATAATATCTTCTTACAGGTGAAGACAAAAAGGAAGGCTCGAAGAGAACACGGCAAACCTACACAAGGTTTCAAACGTTGGAATTGGAAAAAGAATTCCATTTTAACAAATACCTGTCTAGAAGAAGAAGAATTGAAGTATCACATGCATTGGGTCTGACGGAGCGACAAATTAAAATTTGGTTTCAGAATAGAAGAATGAAAGCTAAGAAGGATGGGAAGCTAGCAACATCACCAGAACCGTATAACGTGGACGAAATAAGTGCCGCTAAATTGAGTATGACTGAGTACATGGGTGCAACGCAGCGAATGTCTGGTTTGGGAGAATATCCTAACTATCATATGAATCTTCCTCCACAAACAAACATCCCACCACAAATGGCAAGCACTTTACCACAAAATTATATGATGCCGCCTTATGAAGGGATCAAAAATATATAACTGGTACTAAATAGTAAAAAAGTAAGTATTGTTTAATAATGACATATAATACTACTAAGTACGTTTCCATTATTCATGATTTATGCGATTATCTTCTTTATTATTAAAAACTTGCGAAGAATCATTATATAAATTGCTTGCAACCGTTTTATGTGACACGTCTGATCGTAATTATCTACCTATAGTAATTCTTATCGTAGTATCAGTGTATCGATGTAGACATGTAGATCCTTATCGCCCGCATCTTAAAGGTTATTTTCCTGTATTTTTTTATTAACATTTTGTTGACATTGTTTTAGTGTGAATGCTCGTCAGTCGATTGATGCGAGCATGATTCAACCATACAAGGAGTTCGGAGCCTCCTAGATCAGATTTTGGTGCCTCTGCCTAGTATGAAGAATGAAATGCGGTATGAGAACTGAAAATAAGTAAAAAAAGGTAAATGTAAAATTTAGCACGTGGTGTTAAATCCGCCTTATTCACCATTATTTTAATATAAATTATTATGTATTTTAAGGTGTTAATTATCATACATAATTATGTTAAGCATGTAAGTACAATTCTACTTGTCCTTGCGGGAAAAGGATTGTTATAAATCTTAAGACTGTTCTAATCAATAATTAAAATTATTTCTAGATAAATTATGTATATTCAGTATTTTCATGTCTACTTAATAACATATAATGTTTTTTCCATAAGTGTCATGTAAATCACTGGATCTTTGAGGGCCTGCATGATGCAGATGAGGGTTTTTGTCCTCTGAAGATAAAAGTAATTCAGGGTTATTTAAAATCTATCGAAAAATGAACCCGATGGCGTCTTGAGGCATATTTGTAAATATTATAATCTTCGGTAACCGGTCAGTCGGTGCCGAGTACCCGGTTGCAATCGTTGGAACTTATCCGTACGTGTAAAAGCTAATGTACTACCATGCTACTACTATTAAGCATAGATTTACACACGTTGTCACCGGGAACTCTGTACCGGTTGCCTGGAAACTGAGTTTTAGAAAATTATGATGTTGAGTCAAGTAAGACAGATAAAAGTCCCTCGCCTGGGCATGCCCTAATTAATACATTTATTTAGGTATCTATATGAAACGTTCCTATTTAGATATAATATTGTGAGATGAAAAGTATTTTGTAAAATTTTATATTAAGTATATTGTAAGTATTTTATGTTTCTCTAGTCACAAATAAAGAGGAGTTGTGAATTCTGTATATTATACAAATTGTTTTTTTTTTATTTTCCTCCAGCACATTGTATGGATGTACATTGCATATTGAATATACATTGCAGCTATGTATTAGGCAAATTATAATAACACGGCAACTGGCAACTGTGAAACGTGTCATGGATTTAATTCCCTTAAAAAAAAACTTAAAAATAACTAATAAAACTTATCAAAAACAATAAACAAAACTACTAAACACCAAACATTAAATCAGAAGCGTTATCCGTTTAAATTAAACGCTTAACAACAATAGTACAATCGTTTACAATATTCAGACGGCAACACCAAAACTTTCAAACAAATTGCACCTTTATCTACTTTGGAATAAAGCTCAAAATGTTATGATGAAAATATAAACTTTAGAGTAGTTTGATGTTCGGCTTGTAAAGAACCCTTTCACATAGTTTAAAGGGTTCCAAACCGTAAACACAGGTCTCTAGGGATCAGTAGTAAATGTGCAAATGTTGACAGGAATTTGACATGTTTTGACAGACTATTGGATTTGGCCTAGGATTAAAAAAAAAGTGCTGCGTAATCCTGTTATGGTTACCTGTATTGATTGGTTTAAAAGGATGGACTTCTGTGGTTAGTTTCGATGTAAATAAAAGGCGTTTTGTGGTATTTTTTGCTAGTAACAGATATTTTGAGTAGCTAGATATTTTTTTATATTAATTCTCGGTATCCGTGTAGATTATAATACTGTGTGAGTGATTTAATGTAACGTATAATAAAATTTAAGAAATAATTAATATTTAAATCCAAGGGATCAAAATGTGAAAACACGGTTAAGTTGAGCCATGTGGTATTTTTATGAGTCGATTTGGCTACGACCTCGTAAGTCCGGTGATCGCTAGCGTGTTAGTTTTGTCGCGGAGAACCTAACGGGCTACCGGAGCTCCGGCTCGACGTGCAGGAGAAGGAACGGGGTGGTTTTTAGTAAGTAAGAGTCTGACACTCCCTCCCGCCTCACCCAGGCGGGAGCAGTCATTCGATGATTTTCCCCGCTTAAAAAAAAGCGTGTTAGGTTTCGGCGTCTAATGTTTGGTTCCCACGTTGAACAAAGTATTTTTAAGAAATTCTTAGAAATTTTGAGCCCATAATTATGACTGGTGTATAACAATTGACTTGCCATTTATCACACATAACATAATAACAGATACTTGAATGTCGTTATATGCAAATGTGATTTTACGATATTGGCTTAGGTCCGATCTATATCCGAGTTATTTAGATTAGATTGGGCTAAAATTAAATATCTATCTCAAAAATAAACATCAATTATTGAATGAGTAATAGATTAACTTCACACGTGTGAATTACTAGAAGGGGTCGACAAAGTTCATATTTCATAATAATTATTTTACTAGTCTTAAAAATTGGAATCGTTATTGCCTAAAACGTTTGACAGAAGTCAAATATTATCCTTTGAATGTTAATCTGTCAAGCATTTGTAGCTAACTTCACCGCGTTCTGCACCCCAGCATTAGAAAGTCGACCCTCGTGCTTTTTGAATAGAGAATAACAATAGAATCCTCGTGAAAGAGACAACAATACACCTTTATCACCCTTGAAAGAAAGAGACGCATACACATCAACCCTCTAGAGCAGGGGTAAGTTTGAACTACGCATGCGCAGCCAATATTCCAGCAAGATGGCTGCCTGTGTTTAGTTCATATTTTGTTTGTTTCTATGATTAAAAATGTAGTTTTTAGTTATTATTTCTTTAATTCACTATAAAATATTTAATTAAAATGGTTTTACATGTTTCGTATATCATATTTAAACGGAGTAGTCATTAGAAATGGCTGTCAAGGCGAGATAACCTAGAATGTTGGTAAGTCAACTCCTTTTTCAAAACAATACAGTCAACAAAGCTAGGATTAAGAATTTTCATCGTCTCAGTTCATTACAATAAGGATTTGTTATGACTCAAATAAAACTTTCATCTTGTTATTTTCTTATTTACGTACACTATGTATACTATGTGTACGTATATTACTACACACTAGATTTAAAAATGTATATTTTATATGTAGAAAGATCATCCAGGTTGCAAGACCTCAGTACTAAATCCAACATAACGCATAGCAGGTAAGTACCTACATAGTATTTCATGCAGCATTCATGAATATAATTTTTAAAATATTTTAAAATAATACAAAATGTTTTTAATTAGATGCATGTGATGTGACAGCAATACCGGGACCGATATTTCAAGTACTTTCAAGATTGCTGATATGTTATCCTTTCTACTGTACATTCTACTACCTCTGTCAAATGTTTTATACCACATTCATCACGAACTGATTAACCGTCATTCAATTATCCAAATATAAATTCAATTGATCTTTTTTTCACCGTAACGAGAACTTGCTCTCTTTATAAACGCTTCAAATGCCTTCCATTTTTTTTGTTTCCGATAAAAACTTTTGTTACCAATAAAATGAAAACAAGAACATTTTGATGTAACCAGCACACCTTGGCGTTATAAACCAAAATGTAAATGCAGTTCTATAACTGATCGTTGTTCGAAATGACCATTAATATTGGCGCCTTAATGAAGTTCCGATTTCAAAACCGGGTTCGCCAACGGCAAATTTAAGTTGGTCCGTTCATGCATTGAATACGTTACTTGAATGACGGGTCTAATTAATCCTAACGTTGAACGAGCCAGCTCTCATTGAAGGCAGATCAAAAGAAACCTCCTAATGGATATTTGAATGCCACCATAGTATTTACCTTTAGTATTAATCGACTAAGTAACGTATAGAAAATAGTGAGTCATATATACAAAAAATATATGAGGATGATGCTGTCGAATCAATCATAATTTCTTTCACAAAGTAGCTAAAGGTAAAATGTTGCCGGATAATTATATGAATTAGGACCTTTTATGAGTCAGTACATAGGTACTAGGCACATACGGAATTATGTTGTGTATTGTATGTATATATATAAGTACTTTGACAAATAACTAATGTTCCAATTGTTATTATACTCGCATTGTTATTAAATTTAAGTAATATAACATATTGACAATGTAATATTACACAGTGCACAGAAAACTAATTCACTTCATCCATTATAATACCTATAACAAAATATATTTTTACGAGTTTCCAACAGTACTAAAATTAAAGATAATTTTAAATTTATTTTCGTTCAAACACAGTCTTATCGGCGCTTACTTACACATGTACTTTCAATCTTCGATCACTTTGAACATCCAAAGTGAGGAGTTATCAACACTAATAAATTACAATTTATAATTAAACATTACGACCAATTAATACTAAAGAGGGAGCTGAATTTATTGCTCATGACAAATCACTTTGATAGTAATTTTGTTTGATGTGTCTGTATGTTTCATGTCGATAAAATTTTATCGGTTTTGAAACACCTTTTATATCATTTGGTGGTACTCTGATTACTAATTTTGTTGTGCATTAAATGTAGGAATATTAATTTTAGTTGCTTTATACCTAATTGATACGGTTTAAAAGGAATGAAAGCTTATATTAATTTATTCGTAGAAAAGCAAAAAAATAAAGAGTATTTTACCAAGTGGGTACTGGGTTTTTAAAAATCTCAGTAGTAGCACGGAGTCTGGAAATGTGTCCGGTATATGGCAATAGGCTCACTCCCTATTACATGGGACTCATAACATAAATAGTGAAAAGTGGGTGTTACATTGTACAGTGGCATGAAGTGCCGAAATGTGCACCTCTGCCTACCCCTTCGGGGTTAAAAAGGCGTGATGTTATATTATGTTATTTTACCAAGTGATGGAGCGGCTAGATCATTGTTAACTTTAACTAGTAAGATCCCTAAAATCCCTAAAGTCGTTGGATGAGTTTAAGCTTCATTACTTCGTTAGCGTTTTAAAATTATATTTAATACTATTAATACATGTTCATACAATTTCCCTTTCACAGCTTAAAACTGACAAATTAAATCCAAATTTCTAACGCCGCACACAGATCGATAAAGCATAATACGTAAACATCGCGTTTGGTCACATCACAGTAACATCAGTGGACACAAAAAGTGTGGGATCAACAAAAGAATCTGCACGGCGCATTGTCCCAGCGGTTTGGATCATTTATCAACAACGCTCCACTGACGTCGTTCGAGAGCAGATCGGAGATCAACGGAACCAAACGTCGACCACGATTAAAATTTTTGCATCGTTATTACAAGACTGATTTGGGTAAAACAGTATTTGAAATGTAAAAACCAATCCATAATAAGGATAATGCTAGAATTTTCTCTTGTGCCGATGGTGTTTTTACAAACATAATGTCACTATGTCTATTGCCTATAATACGTTTTAGATCACACAAATAGTGCTGTCCTTGAATTAGTCAAATCCGCAATTTGTTACGTGGCGATGTAGTGGTGCACCACTACCATGGATTTAATATCATAAGTTAATTTGAAATCAGTTTAAAAATTCTTATCAGTCTAAAAAACCTACCAATAACTTATAACTGCAAAAGTCAGTTTATCAACTAAGCGAAAATATATTGAGAATGCAATTTTTTATTCGTACAAGATATTTATAGACTTATTCAGTAGTAATCAAGTTTAACATGGACAAGTAAGTAACAATGATCGTTTGCCCCGCCACCGTATAATAGCCATTATTATAATTCTGCAATTTAACGCCTTTTTGAAAAATTTATAATGACTCAATTTATGGACTTCGTATTTTTTCCTTCACACAAAATAACGATAGACTTGTTGAGTGGCTCATTATATAAATTCGATTTTGAATATCGAATCAACATTTTCTTTTTAATTTTTTAAATTGAATAGAATCTTGTATCAGAAAAGGTTCGTTTCATAAAAAAGTTTTTAATGTATACGATGTTTCCATAATGTCCTAGAGGATATA